TGGAGAAATTTCGCCCCCAGAAAGCTACCGGAGAAACAAGGTATAAGATTAGTGGTCTGGCTTAATTCTCCGGATGAATAGAATTCTAGCTTCACCACATGTGGCTTGGAGCATATTGACAGCGATGACGGTGAAAACTTTCGGAGAAATTTCGGGTGAGTCCCATATCAACTTTATTCGGGTTCACGGCTATTGGTTTCAAGTATCGCCTGCCCCAGCCTGCCACCTATTAACCTCTGTTGACGTCTTTTGAGTTTCTTCAGCACACCTTTCAGGATCATTTTCAAGTTCCACTGCCATTCCAATATACATTTGCAGGTGGAGCATCCAAGGTTTCTAATACCCCGTGGGCGAATCTCCAAGCCGAAGATATTGCGATAAAGGCCCGGGGAAGCAAAGCCTCCTTTAAAATACATATAAGATGGCTCTAGTCCTGTCGATGGCGATCTGAAGAGGCGATTAACCAACAGCAGCCATGGCCGTCTTGTCAGTTCTGAGTGTGGTGCTTGGTGCCACCGTCTCAACCGCATGGGGTCAAACCCTGACGGGCGAGATGATCGAAAAGATGGGAAACAACACTCTCTTCACTCGCTGGAGACCTTACTCCCATTTCCTTGCCCCGTCTGGGTGGATGAATGTACGTCGTCTCCCATTCCTAACGCGGAAATGGACAGATGTTAAACCTCATCTAGGACCCTTGTGGCCCCATGTATGATCCGGCTCAAGGTCTTTATCACATGCATTACCAGTTTCACCCTAATCACGTCAACTGGGGTATGAATCCGTCTTCCTAGCTAATCCATGTGCTAAGTTAGTTATATAGGAAACATCACGTGGGGACACGCAACCTCCCCGGACCTACTAACCTGGACCGATGTTGACAACTCTCCCAATGATGGACTTGCTGCCTGGCAGGACGGTCAGACAGAGTCACTTGTTACTACCAACCTGACCAGTGACCACTACACCCCGGCACTGTACAATCACCTGGGTATCTTCTCCGGAACGGCCCAGCCCGTCAACATCTCTGGTGTATCAGACGGCACGCTTCTCGCTTTCTATACATCTGTTTCAAGGCTTCCGACCTCATACAGCCTTCCTTACTTGAATGGAACCGAAAGCCAAAGTCTGGCATACTCTACTGATGGGGGTGTCACCTGGCAAGAGTACGAGAACAACCCGATCATCAGCAGCCCTCCTGAAGGGTGGAACATCACTGGCTGGCGTGACCCATTCTTCCTCCCAATTCCGGAGCTGGACACTCTACTCAACTACTCTGAGTCGCATTACTATGCTGTCCTTGGCTCCGGCATCAAGGGTGTTGGTCCTCGCATGCCACTTTACAGCGCTCCCGCCTCTGATCTCACCGTCTGGACTTTCCTCGGCTCTCTGTGGGAGCCAGCAGCGAACAGCACCTTGGGCTCATTGGTAGAAACCGGCTCCTACGGGTTCAACTTTGAAGTTTCCAACTTTTTCGAACTTGATGGTCGTTACTTCGTCAGCATGGGTGCTGAAGGTGGTGAAGTGAGCTTCCATGACCGACGTTGGTCCTTGTGGAATGAAGGCACTGTTTCAGCTCGTCCCAACGGCAGCGTTGCTTTCAACCCTGTTTCTGGTGGTGCGGCCGACTGGGGTCTTCTCTACGCGGTGAGAAAGAGATCGTCATCGAGCGGACGGCGATAGAAGGCTAACGTGGTGTACCAGATTACCTCGTTCAACGACACCAAGAACAACCGCCGTATTCAGTACGGCTGGGCAAGTGAGGACATGGACAACTTCGGCATCACCCAGCAAGGCTACCAAGGAGCACTGTCATTGCCCCGGGAGCTTTTTGTCAAGGACACTTTCGGTGTTGTGCACAACCCTGCCGACACCACCCCCGGCAACTCCCGCTACATCCAGGGCTCCAACGGCAGCTGGACCGCCAGTACTCTCGGTGTCCGCCCAGCCAGCGATGTCATCGAAGGCCTGCGTCGTGGCTCCCGCCACGCCAAGACTCAGTGCAGCCGGAGAATCTGCGACAACGCCAGTCAACTCCCGCTGCCCAGAAAGCTCAGCAACTCCTACGAACTGAAGCTCGTCATCAAGAACACCACCGGCGCCACAGGTGTCACCATTGCCTCCTCGCCTGACCGCGAGGAATACACGAACATCTACTACGACCCGTCTAAGCACTCCGTTGTCCTGGAGCGCCTCCACTCCTCCCAGATCAGCATGTTCCCCAACACAACACTGGCCGGCTACTTCGAGCCGTACCAGATCGAGGGAGCAGGCACAGAACCCATCGAGATGAACATCTTCGTTGACGGCTCCCTGGTCGAGGTCTTCGTCAACGACCGCTTCGCTCTTACTGGCCGCATTTACCCCAGTCGGGACGACAGCCACGGCTTCGCTTTGTACTCTGCCCCTGGCGCTCATGTCCAGTATTCGGACATCGAGATTTGGGATGGCTTGCTGAATGTCTGGCCTCAAAGACCTTTGAACAGCAGCTCTGAGCTTGTCTTTGACACGCCGGCTGAGACAAATAACTACACTTGGTGGGAGGGGAATTAAATAAGGCAAGTACTTTCTCCGTGAAATGTATTAGTGGAACATTTGAACGAAATGATGAATTTTGTCCAACTACCTCATCTCAACTGTCCATAGATTTCAATTCATCGGCTACTTTCAGGCCCAAACGTACTCTTCGTAAATATATCATAACTCTATGGTCCATAAAATTCAAGCAATTGTTACCTTGAGCAATGACATTTTGAGCTATCCGATTCTCAGATATATAGTTCTAGCTTGCCCCCGCCAAGGAGTTATGACCACCAACACTGAGGTCACCTCGTTCTGACCTCATCGATAATCCAACAACTTCCAACCACGCAATCCAGATATGCACCTCGTTTCATCACCATGTATGTACATGTAGGGTGTACCATTTCCTGAAAACGAACTTAGAGCCTCATCAAGGCCTGAGGTGGCCTAGCCACCGTTCTCTTTATTAGGCTGCCCCTGTGGCGCGTGACTTCGGAATCGCTGTGGCTCCTCAGCGAAGTCCAGTACAGCTCTCCCTATCTTGGCTCGCGAGGCGATGTCAATCTTACCTCTCTCACCTTCTCTGCAGCCTCCCAAAAGAGCCGACGCACTGTTAAGGAAATCGCCTGACTTCCTCCACAGTTCCCGATGCAGTTCCCTCAGTCTCGGACAGTCCACCAGGACATGGGTCACTGTTCCTTGTTCACCACACACGTAGTGGTCGTCGTCTCAGAACCGGCGTGCTTTCGCTAAGGCGGACAGCCAGCAGTGGCCCGTGCGTGGTTGTGGTGGATGATTTCCTTTCCTGCGAGCTCGTTATGGACGACGCAGACAACGCATTTTCCATCATTCGGACCGAGTCAAGGAGATGTGTTCTGACGCGGGAGTCAAGTTACTGTAACGCCGCTTTTCTCCGGATTTCAACCCCATCGGAGAGTACTTTGGGCGTGGAGTTAACCCTGCCTGAGGCGACAGCGGGAGCTGGCTCGGGTAGAACATGAAGTCCAGGCCCGTCTTCCACTTCGAGTTGGAGGAGTCTGGAACGTCGCCATCACAGAATGGATATCCGGGAAGAATATTCGTCCACATAGAGACAACGAGCCCGAGCAAAAGGCAAGAGGATGCGAGTCTTATAGAGACACTATGTGCGAGCCATTGCCTAAGCCAAACGCACCCATATGACCTGATGAGGAGCGTCCAGCCACTTCTGAGGGCCACAGAAGAGAGTTGGCAAACGGCGAGGAGGAGAAAGCGGACACTATCCTCAGGAGAACCCGCTTTTGAAGGAACGGAAGCAGAAGTCCGGGGCAAGGACGGGGCCGCCCTGCCCTTGCAGAAAGATCCGTCAACTCAAGTATGTCCCACGATCTGGAAATCTGAGAAGCTTCCTTATTAAACCACAGTTTCTACCAGATCTCAGTTTCTATAAGATCTCAAATAATTTCTACCAAATCATATTTTCTATTGTGTCAATTTCTATAATTAATAGAATACACATAGTAATTTTGTGAATGTTCTGCTGGTAAAATACGATATGGCGCACTGGCGGCTATACACTGCCGTACCTATTTGGTCGCATTTAACTTCTAGTAGCTTCGCTGTAGTGGACTCGATAACGGCGGTTTGGTGGGTGATGATTCCTTTCAGGTTGTCGACGGACTTTCTTAGTCGTGACTCGCCCGTTATTATCGGCCGCGTTAGCGACGTTACTGTTCTAGCCTGGTGCGCTGATTGCATTGCTCCGTCTCCCTGACAAGATTTCTTCTCTTACGAGGCGTAATCGACGGTTCGGAGCTTCCCAGCGATGAGACCCTCGCTGTGTTTCGAGTGTTTCTCGAGGGGCGGGGCGGTCGGCCCCTCCCGTCGGTGGGTCCATTGGTCCGGGGTTAGTACCCGCTCGGCATACAATCACGAATTTGGTTCACACAAGCAATATCAACAACCACGAGATTTTTGCCTGGGATCGGGTTGTCCACTGGTTCCCCGTTACTTATCGTAAAGGCTGAAGTGGTGTGTAAAAGAAATTTCTTTACCTTTTCGAGGGCGGTGAGATGCCTGAGCCGCTCACCTTCTCACATTATCTGTTACGCGGGTTGGAACTCCGTTTCGTGCACTTATTCTCTGCTCGAGATTTCTACGGACTAATCCTCTCAAATAGTCTCGCGCTTCAACCGAAGCTGATACTGATAAGTGAGCGTCTAATTTGCCAATTGAGGAAAAGACCTACACATCATTAGAGCCTCACCGCGGTCTTCGTGCGTATTTGCGTCTCTTTCTATATGTCGTCCGGAAGCTTCCGCTGAGATGACCCCATCATAACGGGGTTGACCATTAAAGACCGTGGTACGGCGATGCTGGCCAAACGTCTTTCCATGCTCGATCATCTAATTTGATGACGTAGAAATGGGGAAAATCAAGAAGAAGAAACTGCTGCATTCAATCTATCAAAAGAAAGGGCTTTTATAGAGGCCCCAAAGAGCAAACAAGAAAGGCTCAGTCTGAAAAACCAGGCATCCATACACCTATGGGAGATGGGATCATCCAACAGGTTCTATACAGTACAGTAAAAGATCTGATAAAAATTGAATGGCATGAAGAGAGATCTTTAGTGATACGAGTAGCGATTAAGTAATCTCCCTCCTTAGCCCCTAGGGTCGTAGCCCCTTCCTTTGTCCATGATCATTTCGGCTCACAGGTGTTCAATAAGTGCCGAGATATCCTCGTTCTCCCGACCAGCCGCTAATGCAAGCTTCATCAACGACTTGATCGGATGAATCACATCTGCGGACACTCCGTTTGTTTCACTTGCTTCGAGAATATTCTCCACCGCGACTATTTGCATCGCTATATTCGAACCCTGAGTAACATAATTGCCTTCATCGATCTGCTTCGCCATCACGCCAAGATAGCCGATCATACCTGACAACCAGGGGACCAGTAGGGACATAAACCCAGTAGCCGTGGCTTCCTTCTCTCCGGACCTGACTAGTGCTGTCGCATGCAGGAACCCCGAAAATAAACCATACATTCCACTCAATAGAGCCAAATCGTAGAGCGATGCGGATCCCGCATCCTCACTGAGGAACTTCCCGGTCCCTAAAATGGACAGGTCCTTCTTCACGCGCCGGAAATTCTCCTGCGATCCTCCACTGTAAAGCAGGACGGCTTCCGAGGAGCCGATCATGGCCGGTACAGCCATGATGCCGCCGTGGATGTACTCTGTCCCACCATGGGTGAGAACAAGTTCGGACAGCTGCCGGGCTTGGTCAGGTGTACCGTTTGTGAGGTTGATGACAGTTTTGCCGGCCAATGATTGGAGAGCTCGTGACAGAGTCTCCTTCACGGCCTGAGCATCGATGAGGCAAATCAAAATGAGATCGCTTGCCTGTAGAGCATCAGGTATTGTCGCAGATAAGCGACAACCCCGCTCGACCAGGGAGGCAGCTTTTTCGGTTGTTCGATTCCAGAGAGTGGTTTGGTAGCCATTCTCGAGGAACTTGGTTGCAAGTGCTGTTCCCATGGCCCCGAGGCCAAGGACGCTAACTTTGCTGGACATGTCGTGGGTAGAACAAGAGACTCTGGAGCTTGGGGAGTATGACTTTCAGACTGGTTGACGCACGGGTTTATATAGAGGTATTTGCAGTATGATCGTCCTCGTCACCTCTGTCCAATCCAAGCAAGTTTGCGCCAGGAATTAACCTTCAGATTAACCTTCAGTTAGTTACTCATAAGGTGTTTGTAAGCATAATTGAATTAATAATCCATGTTTAGTTTATTAGACCAGCGCCCTTGGTTGACAGCGCCAAGTCAAAGATGATGGAAAATACGAGATTAGATAGTTAAAGTCGCGGGAAAGAGGATGATGCCCTTCGACGGACAACAAATTGCCAAGATGCTTAGAAATGCAGCGGGACGCCCATCTCGCAGAAAATAGATAAAAGGCGAGCTTGCGCTGTTCAGTTGTAATGTCAGCATCAGACCAAAAATCCCTCTGCTTAGCAATATCTCCTCAATATCCTCATTGGATCCTGCATAATGGCTACCAACCCTAACAAGAAAGCCGTCATTGTCGGTGGTACGCACGGCATCGGTCTTGCAACTGCCCAATTGCTGCTTCAACAAGATATTCGAGTCTTGGTAACGGGACGGAGTTCTCAGCCTATTGAATCCGCAAAACAAGAACTTGGAGGCAGAGCCCACGTTGTACCATGCGACATCAGTTCACTAAAGGGCATTGCCGAGTTGACGCGCCAGGTGGAATCGTACTTCGGGCCCGGTCAACAGATCGATCTTCTCTTCATCAACGCCGGCTACGCCCACCTCGATCCTTTCACCGACGTTACGGAAGAGACTTTCTGCCGGACCTTCAATACCAACGTACTCGGCGCATTTTTCGTCGCGCAGAGTCTGGTCCCTTCTGTTCGCCAGGGCGGAGCGATCGTCTTCACCACCTCCGTGGCCAACAAGACCGGTATCCCTGGAATGTCCGTTTATTCGGCGTCGAAGGCTGCGGTGCACTCCCTCGTGCAGACGCTAGCAGCCGAGCTGGTGGACCGGAATATTCGGGTTAATGCTGTTTCGCCCGGCTTCATCAAGACACCCACTATGGGTGTAGCAGGAACGCCGTCAGAGGTGCTGGCCGCGTTTGAGGAAGAAGGCGTGCGAACGACCCCGTTAGGCAGGATTGGTAATCCAGAGGAAGTTGCAAAAGCTGTTATGTTTTTGGCATTTGACGCAACCTTTACCACGGGGGCAGAACTAGTCATCGATGGAGGATTGACTTCATTGCAGAAGCCTAGTCACTAGTCTACTGATGCTCAACTTGTGTATATATTCTACTGAGCTATACTGCTTCACTTATACCTTTAAATTCTGAGCAAGAAGCTATGTGCACACAGAACGAGTCTAACAACTTCTTTCGATGTATGAGTTATCAGAGGATGCTCTCGCATGGATCTCACCGAGAATCTGTCGTAGGGCCACACATAATAGATAAGAAAATCTCTGGAGTGAACTAATTGCTGCCACTTGCAGCGTTTTAAATTGCAGGAATGACTCCTAGGAGGGGAGGACCTCTTGATACTCAATCCATATACTCAAGCTGATGTTGAAAGCTGTGTGACCACCGCCAACATGATCTGTGCATGCAATTCAAATTGGGTGATATGGTCAAATTACGTGTTTTTACGGCTAAGATCGCAAGCGCGCGAAATTCAGCATATATAGATATATATGCTGCTTCAGGCTGAGTCGCGTGGACCAATGCCTTGACATCCACTGATCATTTCAGATACTGTGCTGTTCTAGTATAGTACATAACCCTCCAAATTCTGTTCTCTTGGTTTCCACTGTCAAATCGAAGATCTCTCGTGGGCTTCGTTTAAGGCCATTCTACCTGAGAGAGAAGAAATCTCATAATCAAGAATGTCTCGGTGATCCAACTGTAAATGAACTATAGATGAAATAGTAAAGAGTCTGGAGAAGACATGCACCATTTACTAAGCTCTTCATCGCGGTGGTCCTAAAAATACGATACTGAGCATTCGGAAAATGACCCAAGCTCAATAATAAACCAGGTAAGAAATTGACATTAGATGCGTACCAAGGATAATCTCAAATCAACCTCTGCGATGTGGCCTGAAAGCAGACTGCATGTTGAACTGAGGCCTAGCGGTCTGCAGTATTATTTTCGCAGAAAAGCACTCGGTCTTTACAGACAGCAGCAATTTTTTACGCCACGCTATGACTCTACACTATGACTCTACACTCTACACAGATTAATACGCCCCACAGGCAAGATCGGAGGGCATGCGTGAATTGAGGAAAGCCACATGCGAATATATTTGGCAATAAACAGTCATTAAATGACCACAGTCAGAACAAGACCGATGTGTATCGTACACGCCTACCCAATAGCTTGCATCGTGTTACGTTTAAATAGGGGTCAGTGACGTCTTTGAAGCGATTTCCTAACCTCAAACGGCCATAGTGGTCAGATTTACAGATATAATGGTATATGTTTTCCTTTAGTACTATTTTGATAACCCACGTTTTCTGGCGGGTGTCGATTCCATGCCTTCAGTTTACTGTTCTGATCTGATTACCTATCAATCGACGTTTGTCCGAACTCAGTTCCATAAGTTAGCCAATTGGACGAAGAGAAATAAAACTATTCGAGGAATGATCAGAGATGTGGATCGCGCTTCGCTTTTAACGTCGGTATTGATTTACATCGCTAAAATGTTGTGCCATTATCTCTAACAATTCGATCCGCTGAAGCTATGTAAATCACGATGCAGGTATTTTCCTAGTTTCTCGTCGTAATTGCTCGCCCACGAATTTTCGATCTATGTCTAAAAGATGCAACTGGAATTGGGCACATTACGGGAGAGCCCAATGCCCCTCACTACACGCTCCCTGAGGACTTTTTCATCACCATCCCAATCTCGCACGAACTGTCCGCTGCCAGAGTCACTATCAGCGATACATACCCGAAAAGTCGTGGTAGAGACCCAGCTCCGAGGAATTGGCCATACAACCCAGAAAGCAATGTCTTTCGCCTTTGAAAGGGCTGAAATTATCAACCCACGCCCGAACTTGGGTCCGATTCCGCTGAATTGCAAACGCAAAAGGATTTAACATGATTCTCTGGATACAAATCCTCTAGGTCCGGGATTTGTCAGGGAATAAACAAAGAAATGCATGAGCTGCGGTGCTTACATGTACCGCCGCGGATATAGCAGACCTAGTCATAATGTGATCGACAACTGTGCACCGTTTTACTTCAATTTTCTATCAATCAATGATGGCGAAGCAGGGTAGAATATCCCTAAAATCATTTTTGTAGCGATCTGCACTATATTTGATAGCTTGATTGACCAGGTCATCTGCTTGTGCTTTATGATCTAGCAAAGCTGGACGAATGATTCGCATTTGACGTGAGCGTCGGCGTATAAACCGGTCCTTAGGTTGGTAGCTGGTGGATGCCTCGGCATACAAAACTTGGCTAAACTACATACGACAGAGTTTGATATGTTGTGTTTAAGTACCTTTTGTATAGCAATTCTATATAAAAGATACCTGATCTTAACAATCTGGTATCCGGGAATACCCGCGCTGGACCCTGGATTTGGCCTCACGAACTGGTCCGGGCCAGCACTATAACTAACTCCATAAACGGGAATTAGTTAATTAGATTATTTGATTCTAGTCGTACTCGCAGACATGTCCTTTTATCCTAATGCTTCTTGGGTTATATCTAACCCCTATAACTAGGTGGTCGGAGGAATATTATGACTCAACTCGAATTCTTTTTCTTTTTTAGATTGTCGTACTGCTGCCAATCAAGCTCGGAGATAAATACTATCCTCGCTTGCGAACGTACCCACTATGGCCCAGAAAATGACTATGACCCAGCAAATCGCGACTGGTGAGATTGATTGTGACAGCTTGGAGAGCGATGGCGTGCTAGGCTATCGATATTAATGGCCAACTCCACAGCCTCTACTTAAGAAACGGATCTCTCTTCTGCGGATTTCAACGCAAGAGGATATCATCGCTACTCCCAGGATGACCGCTCTAACATCTTCACCAGTTGAGAGCGTCTCGGCCGAACTCGAGAAAAAGAACCCCGATGTTCACTCTTCAGCAGGCGATGGAGCACTGCAGTTACTAGAAGCCGGTTCAGCGAGGGTCCTCGATCCCGCAGCATCTAGACAACTGTTGCGCAAGATCGATTTGTATATCATGCCATTGATCTGCATCGTGTACTTCCTACAGTATCTGGACAAGATCGCCATCAGCTATGCCAGCGTCACGGGGTTGCCAGAGTCAGCAAACCTCCAGGGCAACCAATTCAACTGGGTATCAAGTATCTTCTTTTTCGGCCAGCTAGCGTTCGCTTTCCCCACCATGCGTGTGATGCAAGCTTTTCCCCTGGCAAAATACGTTGCCGTCAACGTGACCATCTGGGGTACCATCCTGGCCTGCATGGCGGCATGTAAGTCGTTCGCCTCCTTGATGGTCTGCCGAACGCTTCTGGGCGCCGCAGAAGCCTCTATCGTGCCCGCCTGGGTAGTTTTCACCTCGCAGTGGTACCGGAAGGATGAACAGGCTTTCCGTGTTGGTCTGTGGTTCTCCATGTGTGGATTCGCGCAGATGTTCGGCGGCTACGTCGCATACGGCGTAGCAACTCACATCGGTGGGGATCCTAGCGCCTCCCTGCGAGGTTGGCAGGTTATCTTCCTGATCCTGGGCCTGCTCACCGTGGTGACCGGCATTCTCTTCTTCTTCCTCCTGCCTGATTCCCCTCTAACGGCAGGATTTTTGTCCCTGGAAGAAAAGGCAATGCATGCGGAGCGTCTACGGGGTAACGGACAGGGCATCGGAAGCAATGTCTTCAAGAAAGCCCAGGTTTACGAAGCCCTTACCGACCCGCACACCTGGCTCTACGCCTTCTGGGTCCTGGCGGCAAATGTACCAAACTCCACTGCCACGAGTTTTGGAAATATCATGGTAACGGGGATGGGCTTCTCGAAAACGGAAAGTCTTCTGCTTGTGACACCCATGGGCGCTTATGAAGTGGTGGCTCTGGTTGGCCTGACCTATCTGGCAATGAAGACACAGCGGCGACTGTTCTGGTGCATTATAGGCCACATCCTGGCAGTCGTGGGTGCGATTCTGATGGCGACGACCGATAAGGTGCCGGCGCTTGTGGGATATTACCTCACCGGAGGCATTCCGCTCGGATGGACAACAATTCTTGGGCTCACCAGTACAAATGTGGCTGGCTCAACCAAGAAGATCACCGTGTCCTGCATCCAGACCATCGCCTACACTGTCGGTAACATCATCTCGCCGCAGACCTTCCAAGCCAAAGATGCTCCAGGGTATTTGCCGGCCAAGATCTCTATCTGCATCCTGTATTTCATCATCACGCTAGATCTGTGCCTTATCTGGTGGATATCGCAACGGGAGAATCGCCGACGGGACGAGCAGAAGGAGGCATTGGGTGAGGCGTACGTGGTTCCAGAGAACCACGAATTTTTGGACCTGACAGACCGGGAGAATCCGGAATTTCGTTATGTGATATGAAGATGGTATTGTGTCCTTGAGTTGCAAATTTGCAACAGGCCTGGGGCTCATTTCTGGACTTCCGGTTCATCTGGGTTTGGGTCGCCTTGTATTTCTTTATTAATATTAGACAAAATGTACATATCTTGAATCAATTATACCAAAATAGTGGATTCTCGTATTTAGACCGATGGGCCTTCGTTTTACGCTACGAACAATAAGGATATATAAACCCGTGCCTTAGGTAGCAAGCCGCGGAATTCGAAAAGGGATTACATACTTGAATGTAGAACTCATGATCAACTCAGCCCCATGTTCACCTCATCGCTGAGACCCATTTCCCTTTCCGCCCTTTCTGTCCCGCCCGCAGCTCGAGTTGACCACCGGTCGAGATGATCTTGGGAGTTGGCCATCTCCTTTTCACGCAAACTAGCGCTGTCACTAGTTGCCACACTTCCTTCGCGGGCATGCGACGGTCTGCGGGAACTTTTGATGCTGATGGGTCGCGAGGCGTCTGCTCTATCGGCTACGATAGATGTATTTGAGCCCGTAGCACGCCCACTGTCAGCGGGCGGGCCGCCAGGGGAGGTCTGCTCTTTGTCCTTGGTACCGCTGAACCAGCGCCGACGGGATTTGGAGGAGGTGGATGGCGTGATGCTTTGTGCGTCGGCGTTGTCGTCATTCTCTTGTTGTTTCTGCTTTTCTAGGGCCTGCGTGAGCCCGGAAATGGTTTCTTCAGAGGCATTCTGGGTAGCTTGAGGTGAAAGGTCTGCTAATTCAGCGTCACGGTACCACTTGCGTCGACGGGTATAGCGATCCCATCCATCTTGACCGCGGCGACCGTCATTCCACTGGAGGTCCGTTAGAAGCTGATACAACGAAGCCTATAGAGAGCACCAACCTTGTTATCATAGTAGATCCATCCTTCGCCGGTTGACCCCTTCGAGTCGGATTTTCCATTGAAGTTGTCTGCTCCTTCGATGCGCCACTCACTTCCCTCCACCCAGCGCCATTTGGCATCTCCTGTTTGAACATCTGGTAACTCGAAAGAATCTTTGGGATTCACTGCGTTCATATGCTCGTCTGTCCAAGCATCACGTTCTGCCGGGAACAACGAGTAAGTCCACCCGATACCCAGCCAGCGGCGCTGATTCTCATAGACAACAAACGTGAACCGCACACCCGCGTTGTTTCCACGTCGCCTAGTTGAAATGTTTAAGCCTTGCTTTTGGCCCTGGGCTTGGGTCGGGACCTTTTGTGGGCTGCTCAGGGTATCGGCAACGGAGAGGCCGGTGGCTGCGGCGCATAGCCGACGCACGGCTCGAGACCGCCACAGGATGACACGGGAGACTCTAGCGGGCCGGGAATGGTAAGTCAGAACAATAGTGCCAACGGCCATCACGACGCGGCGTGTGGTGAGTATGTAGAATGGAGGTAGGGTCAGACCGATCCAGACAGGAGTGACTAAGAGGATGCGAATGAACAGAGCCGTCAGCGCAGGTTTGGTAGTCGCCGAGGTAGGAGTACGCTGAGTCGATAAGAAGTCGGTGAGGTCGAGCAGAGGCTCGAGGAGAATATTGCATCTGGTTGTGAAGATGCGAAGGGTTTCAACAATTTCATCAAGACTCTTTTGATGACGCAGTGAGCTATCTGAGGCAACTTTGGTTTTGTGTTTTTCACCTGTTGACGTGGTTGACGACAGAGGTGAGTAACGACGTCCATACATGCCGAGGATCAAGGCGATCACGACCAGGATCGGTCCTGCCCAAAGAATGATGGCATCGCTATATAGGACGATAGTCCAAAAGGTAGCCACCAGCAAAAAGCTCTGCCATGGGTCTCCAGAGGTCCATGTTAGGAGACCTGCCAATTTATTTAGAGGAAGTAGAAATGGGTGCGAGTAGGCCAGAGCTCGCGTGATAGCCGGTGGTGTGGCCACTAGGAGAGGTGATTTGCGATGCACGATGACACTGGAGCGCTGGCGCGAGGTCAGAGCCGAGCCGCTAATAGTCGACGGAGAGAAGGCAGCGACCGTCGGCGGCTGAGAATCCGACTCGCCATGATCCTGGGCGCTCGATGAGGGTGCCATGGAGTCTATCCACGGAAGATTGTCTGTTTCGCCATCAGTGATCGAGTTTAAGGAGAAACATCATCAAATATCATACCTAAAGCTGCCATCCAATCATGGACATGTCATAGAGGGACAATGAACTCATCGTCTGGGACGAGTGAGGGCTTTATATGATCGTTCGTTCATGTTCGGTCCAAGAAGATCTGCGGGGAGATCGAACTTGTGGGCATGTGACTCTCGGTATATTATGAAAAGGTCCTGATATATATTGTGTTGGTATGCATTTTTGACTCTTTTTTTAGAATGGATGTCGATATAGACGATAATAATAAGAACTACTTCATAAATTATCTTGACCTCAAGTTAAAATGACCTTGCTATGTATACACTGTTCTCTATACTCATGCCCGTGCCTGGACAGCTCCCGACGCTAAAAGCCCGCAGCCGAAATTTTCCCCTTCTCTTCTTTCTTCCTTCACCCGATAACTTCGTGATCGTCTCCTCTACGGCACTTTCTCAATGGTATGTCCATTGATCTCCTTATTTTTCCCATCCTTAAATTTAAGACTAATAATTTCCCAGGCTCATCGCATCGTCTCTCAAGTCGTCGTGACCGGAGCCCGTGTCTTCGGCCGCGCCTTCGCCGAAGCCTACAAGCAAGCCCAGGCTTCCGGCAAATATGCTGGCCAGCAAAAGGCAGCCGGGAAATCCGGTACTACCTCGAGCGTAACCATCGACGAAGCCTGCAAAATCCTGAACGTCAAGCCCCCGGCCTCCGGCGAACACGACCTCGAACACATCATGGCCCGATTCAAGAAACTGTTCGACACAAACAACCCCGAAAAGGGCGGCAGTTTCTACCTGCAAAGCAAAATTCTCCGTGCACGCGAGCGGCTGGAAATGGAGTTCCGCGAGGTCGAGCGCAAAGCCGCGCACGACAAGGAATTAAAGGAAGGCTGGAACCCCAAGGTCTACAAGGATAAATGAACACGACAAAACCAGTGCGGTTCTCCGGTTTCCCTACGAGCACATCTATGCTTTCCTGCGACAGAAGCCCCCTACTCCAACCGGCTTCTTTGTTTTCGATCTGCTCGTCTTTCTTGTTTTGGCATAGCATGGCGTTTGGGTTGTTGGAGAAAGACGCCTTGAATTTCTAGATTGGGGTCTTTCTCTCTGATATTTTAAGATGGTCTCTGAATCCCTTTTTGGGCATCATGCCCGGTTGGAAGTGGAAGTGTCCACGTCCGACCTTCTCATCGACCTTTCGGTCTGTGTATATCATCTGTGATGCGCCGCCTTCCGTTGACCACCTTCTCCACTCTCACTCGGAAAGGATTCATGTACAATAGCTATATACTTGCATTAACTTGTGTAATGTCCGATCTAGACCCATTTACTGTGTATTCTTCGCACATCGACATCGTTGTCGGAATCTGTCCTTGACTTGTTCTTTTTTTGCCACCGCCGCCTTGCCAGGAACTGGAACGTCTTCACGTTGTCCCTATACCTACTTCTGTCAAGGGGACGTTCGAACCACGCATTTCAAATAAAACCTACAACAGACAAGATGTAACACAAAGCCGATCGAATTGTGGCCACATGTCCCGATATGGGGGCAGGGGAATCCCCCGCCATGGCGCTATCCGGAGCGGAGCCGACGGGGGTTTATATTTTTTTTTGGAGAAAATCCAGGCACTACTGCACTTACCATTTCAAGAGATTTTACCGATTAACCAATCTCCAAGACATAGCCCACACGTACATATCCAACTTTTCAGCATTGACCATATTGACATCCCAAAACACACACCATGCGCCCCTCCACCCCACTGTCCGCGGCGCTACCGCCGCTAATAATGGGCACCGCAACCTTCAACTCCCAATACAACGCCGACCCATACGCCCTCCCAACAACAGAGCTCGTCCAGCGCGCACTGTCGCGCGGTGTGCGCGCCTTCGACACATCACCCTACTACGGCCCCGCAGAAGAACTCCTCGGCCGCGCCCTGGCAACAGAAACCGTGCAAACCAACTTCCCACGGGAGACATACCACCTCCTCACAAAAGTCGGGCGCATAGCCGGCTCCTCATTCGACTACTCGCCGCAATGGATCAGACACAGCGTGCGACGCAGCCTGCAACGTCTACACACAGACTACCTGGACGTAGTGTACTGCCACGACGTGGAGTTTGTGACGGCTGCGGAAGTGGTCACGGCTGTGCGGGAGTTGCGCCGTCTCCGCGATGGAGAGGGCGTGCTACGCTACGTCGGTATCTCCGGCTACCCGGTCGATACGCTTAGCGAACTGGCGGAAACGGTTCTCCGCGAAACGGGCGAGCCGCTCGATATCGTTATGTCGTATGCCAACTTCACTTTGCAGAATACGCGGCTACACTCGCACGCCCTGCCTAGACTGCTTGCTGCTGGCGTTGATGTCGTTCCGAACGCATCGCCGCTGGGCATGGGGTTGCTTCGTCGTGACGGCGTGCCTATTGGCTCGATGGGCGATTTCCATCCCGCTCCTAATGCTCTGCGGAGTGCTATTCATAGTGCTGCGGATTGTGCTTCACGACATGGAGAGAAGCTTGAGGTTGTTGCGATTCGATTTGCGCTGGAGGCATGGCTGCGTGTTGGTGCGCGGGCTGGCGGTCTCGGCGCACCGCTTGCTCGTGCTGCGGACGCTGATCCTGGGTTTTTGTCTGTGGCCAGTATGGGCACGGGGAGGAGGCTGGGTGTAAGTGTTATGGGCGTTAGTAATATTGCTGAGCTGGATGAGACTTTGCGCGTGTGGCACAGTATTGTCGATGGACTGGAGAATTGGAATGAGGACGACGACGCCTCGTATCTCGATACTAAGTTGGAATCACCTGGACCGTCGACTCCTAGGCTGGATGTTCCAACGGGTGATGTTCTCACGCCGTCGAATATCCTCACGCCCCAGGAGGACCTTATCACGGACCGTGCCTGGTCTCATGCACGCGGAGTTCATATCTTGCAGCTGGCACGAGAAATCCGGGATATATTAGGTACAGAGTGGGTTGATTATGTCTGGGCCAGTCCATCGCCAGACTTCGTGAATCTGTTATCTGGAGAGCATATCGCTGCTGTGCGGAGGATCGAGGCCGAGGAGAGAACAGGACAGAAGCCATATCTCTCAATATCTGATACGGCTATTAAGGAGGATCCTATGCTGACGCCACCGTCAGATGTGGAAAAGCAGCTTGCATAGAATCAGAATCAGAACTTTATGAATGCATCGAGATACAGCCATTATGGCGTCTCCCTGTCCTATACGTATTTCCATCGGTCTGGGTTAGACGAAGATTTGCTCCTGGGCAGGCAGGAAGGGACTCAGCGACACGTTGAGATGGGCGCACCGTCCGATAGCACAAAGGCAAGTTCGGTGTGCAGTCCCAAGCCCGGGCTCCTGATGCTCCAGTCCTCTCCCAGAAGTCGCATATAGCGCTCTTTGGGTGAGAAGGAAGGCATGGGAAGGAGAGGACAAAGGCAGAAAGAAAAATAAACGCCAACAAACATAGATACACGTTGGGCGCGTATCCATGGCCATCAGGGGGTTTCATTGAAATCACTAACAGCATCCCACGTAGGGACCAAAGAACCGCAAGAACTAGGTGCTTGCCGAGGGTGTCCCGGAAGGCATTAGACGTTGAGGCGCCGGACCGATTCGAACAGATGTTGAAAACAAGGTCATCCAGGGGTTGAAATTGTCGAGGCTTATCCACATTTGAAACTAGTTCTCAATCAAATATGATCGAAAACTGTTTTCAACATTCGGACACCTAATCAATTGTAACCAAGGGACAAGTTAACAGATTCTGGTGAAGTCGAAACCCGGGAGAGAATCCTAAATAGTAAGTCACTGTGTTTCGTCTCAGCCTCAAATAACGCTCTTTCTCGGTTTCCACCAGTCATTCGCTGCGTTTCTCGCCATGAAGAAGTAGAAGCAACGGCTTCGCCGAAGCACACGCGAAGATATCACCAACCACACCATCCCGCCCTCGCAAACATCCTTCCTCTCTTCCCCGTGCAAATCACCAAACCATTCGAAGTAAGGGGTATCATACAAAATAAAAAGCATACAAACAGAAACCAAAAGAAAGTCGTTGCGGGCGTGGAAGTGGAGACTCAAATTTATGCCGAGGCGAGAAGTTTCTGCTCTCTGCTGTCCAAGTCCGCATTCATCTGCTCATCGGTCTCGTAACCTGCATGGCGGCGAGCTTGGCGGAGGCTGAGGCTATTGGGGAGTTTCTTGAGGTCGGGCCTCAGACGTTTGAGTCGGGCCGCACGCTCCTGACACAACTGACGTCTTGTCTCACCCTTCCGAGCTTTGGCAGACTTTGCTTCGGGTCCGGGTGCTTCATCAGAAGAAGTATCCTCTGGCTCCGATTTCGTTCCCTTCAACTTTGCCTTGGGCTTTTTGGCAGGCTTGCGAGCTGGGGGTGCTGGCAAGGGAGACTGGGCTCCGTCGGTAGGAGGGGGAGGGGGAGGGGGAGGGGAGGCTCCGTTAGCAGGAGGGGATCCCAGCGGCGGAGGCGGAGGCGGGGACTCCCTGTAACGAGCAAACCTCTTCTCTGTCATGAACACCTGACGGAGTTGGAAGCGCTGCTCGATGTATTCATCGAAGTTAGCCGCAATGATGGGTCCAAGAATGCTCTTGTTCGATCCTTGGACAAGCGCAAGATATTCCATGCGATTCTTCAGGGAAGTATGGGCATTAGAAAAGGCTCGGAAGATCAACCCAATTTCCTTCGTGCCACCTGAAATGTCGTTGTCTCGGTTATTGGGATCTTCGATTGTGAGACGATCGGGATTGCCGAAATAATAGCCCTGTTTGACATGATCAGCTGGCTAGTCGACAAGTACGCGAACTAAAATACACTCACCTTGTTGAAATAGCCTGGAGGGTCCATCCGGATTGCCAACCTATCATAGGAGAATTGCTTCCCGTAGAAGTTGAAGAAATCAAGCAAGATTGTTCCTAGGTTTGGCTGCATATGGCCCTGGGGCAGATGCTGAAGAATACTTGTGACCAAGCAAGTGATGGAGAAACCTCCTAGTCCACCAGTCGGAACTTCGTTGAGGCCGCGGATCAACAAGAACTGCTTAATCACAGCCAGAATAACTGGCATCATAGGATATTGGGTTTTCCATTTCTGGAATGTGTCGTTGGCGATCAAGCCACTGTCATTGTCGAAAGACAAATCCACCCGCAACCCAGTCAGCTTGTCCACGTACTTGAGAATTGGTACCCGTGCGGAGGCAATGCATTCGATCGAGTTCGGAACAGCAACATTTGTGCTCTTGAGGAAATTCGAAAACGCGTAGATTTGACCCTTCCTCTCTCCGAATGTTCGAACTCCCGTGCGTACGAATGTGTTGGAAAGCAGCACCAGATCAATATCAGCCGTAGGTAGATAGAGACCCGAGGCAAAAGAACCAAAGGCCCGGATCGAAACGTTATGGTATCGTTGTTGGAATGCAGTCTCTAGTCGACTGACAAGATCGGCGCGGACAATGTGTTCGAATTCCTGTGGCTTGGCCCAGTGATAGAAGCTGAGAATCTCATTATGCAGCCTGGTTTAGATGTTAGAGGGGAAACAGAAAGAGCGCGAAGGATAGTACTGACTGGGTTCCTACGTGCAAGGAAGTCGGGGTGCCCTCGAACCAAGGCGTGCCTGCCTCTTGGGAAAGTGCTTTCCATTGATCGATAACAGAGCCATCGTAGTTGAACCTGCTGGCAGGCTTTCCGGTCTTTCGGGAGTACCCCTTCATCTCATCGTCACGGGTTCGCTTTCGACTCGCAATGGCGGGATCTAGAACTTCCTGGGCCTTTGGCCCTCTAGGGGCATTTTCAGGGGCGTTGCTCTCAGAAGTTTCTGTTTCGAAGCCCATGCCGAGAGAAATGAAATCTGAGTTTTGCTTGACTGCATCCGTCTCGTCTGTCTTTCGGGCAACCTCAAGTCTCGCCTTGCGAATCAGCTTGACAACATCCACCCTTTTGTTTGTAGTTTCGGCCGGAGGAGGAAGCGCAGTGTAGGGATCGGGGTTCGACCATTTTGGAGCAGGAGGAGGGGCTGGAGCAGCGTCTTGAGGCCCATCGAGAGCTAGTGCACGTCTTTTACGTGGTCGCTCGGCGTCGGATTCATCAGACATGTCCATCTCTGCCTCTTCGCTGTCGCTCAAAGCAGAAAGCGGGGCAAATTTGAGTCCAGGCTTAGTCTCGCCGTCAAGCCGTTCGGGTGTGCTTTCCCTCTTCGAGGACAACAAAGGTCGGTCCGACGTGGCGGGTTTCTGATACCGGAAAGTGAACTCATGTCGTGGATTAGGACGCGAGCCACGATTGTTAGAATTTCCTCTGAACTGGAATGGAGCCATTGGCATTTTGGACAGCTGCGCTGAAGCAGCAAAAATGCAGACGCGTGGAGGAGAGAATCAAGAGTTTCCAGTTTCGATACGCGAAAAAAAGATCTCCGAAAAAGTTAGGCGGAGGGAAGGCGGTGACGGACTTGGTCGCACCTTCCACGTGGATGTCGGGTACTACCTGCCTATACTACATCCATGTATAACAGAGTGAACCTTATGAATTGTAACATCTTTCAGGCGTTGATTTCTAGTTTCTCATTGAACGTATCTTAATACCCTCCTCTAGAATATGAATCAAATCATGTTGCACCGCCATCTCGGCAAAGCTGATACGATCTGTCGCCCATTCCAACCAGTCCTCAGCCCTAGCACCGTTCGCCTGGAGCAAACCTACACTCACATCAATTAGAAGTGGTCGTTCATCACAATGCCAAAAGGCAGAAGCCCCACAGCAGCTGCAGAATTCCCTATACACCCCAGGTGAACTTCTATGCCGCTGCATGGTCCCTGCATCGAACATAAAGGGTGACCCGTCTGCATTAAAGATGTTAGATCTGGGCACAAATGCCCAGGTCTGGATAGGAAATCCACTGCTTAGTCGGCAGCTGTTGCAGACACAGGTTCCTGCAATATATTTTGTATCACCATCTCGCAACCACCATTTGATATCGTCAGGATTCGCACCAGAACCGGAGTGGTATGGAACCAGAAGATCTGGCCATGGCGAGGATGCTTGTAAGGATGACGCATCGGGCTTGGTGATATAAAACTCAAGTCCTCCACAGAGGCAACGTGCCCGCAAATGCTGGCTTGTTGATGTATATTCTACCAGGTTTGTTGGTTCTCGGTTAGGACTCCCGACGCTGGTTGAAGAATGTAATCTGCAACCTGTGACCGTTGACTCCGTTCCAGGAAGCAGTGCACTGAGTCCACCGTCACCAGTATCGCTGCTTTGCCAGTGCTCAACTGCTCGGACCGAGGGGACATTTCTTGCTGCCAACAAGCCCGAGGCGACTAGAAACTGTCCTCCAGGCTGCAAGCGAGCGAAGACGTGGGCACCACATGTCTTACAGAAGAAGCGACTCACGTGCTTGGACTGTTGGTATTCCTGGAGGCCATCTAGGTTCGGTGGTTCATGCTGAAGGAGATAATACGATGAGGATAATTGCCCAGTCACCATTCGACAGCTGTTGCAATGACATAATTGGAGTTTGGATTGGTCGGTAAGAGAGTCCAATTGGATAGGTAAAGCTACACTCTTGCATATGCAAGCGATAGGAGTAGTCATCGTTTGAGGACGCAAATAACCCTCGAGATCGCAGAGACAGCTCTCGAAGCATGTGTTGGCTATGTGTGTAAGCGGGGACAGAAATATGCTCACAAGTGTAACGTGGAACGAGATGCGAGCAATGAGAATTCACTCAAGTTGTCTGACCTTAGACTTGAATATCCCGGAAAGTCACGAGTATAAAATGTCCCGACCCCATCCCCTCCTCTTTCTCCCCCCACCTCGCCTTTTACAACCAACACAACTCCAAAAGCTTCAACCAGTTTTCACCACTTCAAACCTACAAAATGAGTAAGCACTTCCATCTTCCATCTTTCATTATATACGTGACTTCATATTATTGAAGAACCGCGCTTTGCCTTTGCCCTGACTTCCGAAATGGCGGGGTCATAGCGGGGTTGTCACCCATCGTATTTCACCCTGTTCTTTCAATGCTGACCACCATGATAGGCGATCACGGATGCAGCTGCGGCTCCTCTTGCCAGTGCCCTGCCGGCTCCTGCAACTGCCCTGTACGTGTTATCCCCTCTCCTTCGATGACGCGATGATGTCTGGCTGACCCGATCCTCAATCTGACTAGAAGAAATAAATCACACATATTGGCACGATGATTCGAACTTTTCAAGGAATATGAAGTGAGACGGAGGATATCTGAGTTGGGTGGCTCCCGGTTGTGTTACTCGGGGATGCGTGTCATGTCATAAAATAGGAGCACTTGCCATAGTGAATGACATGCGGCTGCTCGACCACTTTTATTCTTTCTAAAACAAGTACCTTGTGGGCATCAGATCTAAAACTTGGGTCTTCAGATCGGTATGGGTAAACCTTACGAGCTTAATGACCTGTCCGACATAGCCTGCTGGGTGAAGAATAGTAGAGACAGCTAGCACATATCTACAACGTAACATGGCACCTACTGAATACCTTTGTAAATAGATCAAGCCGCGGATATAAATTCAAAAAGCACAACCTCGGGGGAGTAGAGATAACCCCCAGAAGGCGAGTGACCGAGAACCTTGTTTGACACGATATCAGGCATCCTTCTCAACCTAACCACACAGTCCACTAAGTGATCATCCCATCGTCACAGTGACCAGAAACGGAAACAACCTTCCCACCCTTACAAGTACGGCTTCTGCGGTTTGTTTTGCCGATGCGGCATTTTCACCATGTCCAACATCAAACGTTCCTCGACCCCAACACCTGGTGCCGCGCAGAGTCGAGTGCAAGAAGACATAAAAAATGGGACTTGATGCTGCACAAGTCCGAGAAGAGTAGTCTCCGATCGGAGCCAATCAAAATCATGCATGATGCAGCTCGGAGAGGGTCTGTGATATGCTCTAGTAGCTTCCAAGATGCAGCCTCTCCACTTTCTCAGCGTCTGGCTGGTTTGTTTCTGGCTCTCAGTCAGATCCTAAGGAGCCTGTCTCCGCATAAGGCCCAAACGCACGATAGGCGTTTCTCCTTTGTATGTTACGTACATTGTACAAAGTGAAATGCCTTTCCAAGTCCATGTTATGAGATCTCGCCTCTTGGTATATAGTACAGTCCGTTTCATTTTTTGAGTAGACATTACCAAATGCAATATGTAGGGGAATGATCTAATGCCGGTCTCGAACTGACCTCGGGAGCTAATACAGACGCCAACAATGCAGGTGCAACTCCTCAAGCGTCTCGCCCGTCATACACTTTTAGTACACAAATACCCCGAACGAAAACAAAGAAAAACAAAGCCGAAACACCCTGGCATCCACTGAGTGGATCTGAACATGTAATTCAGGCAATCCAGGGCTACCAATGAGGCCAGATAGCACACCTCCTCCAAGGTCCCCAATCCGTGCAAACGTCACCTCATAGGCTGCCATGATAGTCCAAACCGAAACCGCTGCAGGCGCCGGAAATTGTACTTGCCGAGTACGGGACGTTTATCCTAGTCCGTTCTGGTATTTAGAGTCCACAACTCGTACATTCTATACATATGACTGTACCCATGAGATAATAAGAGGCCCGACCCGAAACCAGTGGATCAAACATATGCCGATCTACGTCGTACCAGGAAGGTGGCCGTCATCGTGGCATGATGATGAAGGTCTTAATTTTAGTTGACACACTAATAGGAATTGTTGCCGCTGCCATATATTTACTATTCGAGGCATAATAGTCCTTCATATAGCATGCATCATATGATGAAATATTCAAGTCCAGTCGAGATCTAAAGGCAAACAATTTACACAGTTAGTATAGGCAAAAGATGACCATATCTAGCAAAGTATAAACAACGCATGTCATTGCTCCACAAATGAACCCTGCACGATTCTTCCAAGGTTAGTCTTCAGCCTAAGCTAATAGACCTCATTTTTCGCAGGCCCGAGCACAATGCAATCTGATACACTCCATACACAAACTGATTAACCCGATTAACTATCCTCGCCATACCAAACACGGAGAGAGATAACAGTTGGAATTCGTAAGAAAATAGATCGGAGACTAATCCTTACAGCGGTCTTTGCGCCATATTCGCCCGAGGGGGGGCTTCAGACTTTACAAACTTACATCATAGGCAGAACCCGATAGGCTCCGCTTTATTGGCGAGCGGTTGAACGAACTGGTTATAGTAATTTTTACAGCGCATAGCGCGTGAGGATAGGCCGAAGGTCATGATAGGTGGCAAGCTGATTGGGGTTAGGGAGGGGCGACGAGTGGGATGCAGGGCTGGGCTCATTTGACTCAACCACGCGATACGATGGAGCGTGAACGGGGCGCCGCGGCGACGTTACTACGTCTTGGATTGGATAGAGGTGCATGATGGATGGGGAAATAGAATTATGCGCTGCGCTATTATTGACTGGGATAAAGTAGCAGTCGTGGATTTCAGAGGTATAAAGTTGGCCTTGTATCCTTCCCTGGGACTTTTTCTTTTATCCAAGCCAATTCATATTCAAAGCAAACACTACTACTCAAGCTTCTTCTTCAAGGTTCTTTACCTACCACATCTATATTCATCATGTCTCCCTGCACCTGCAACTGCTGCTCCGGCGAGTGCAACTCCTGCTCTTGCTCCAGCTGCAAGGTATGTCATAGCTTTCTCACTCCGTGTCTTAAAACCATCACTTAGAGTGGGATGCGGTCTCGGGGCGAAAGATATACTAACTACCCTTCTAGCACTAAGCCGGCTCACACGCCTTCATCGCCGCCATCTTCCTCCAATACAACTCATACCAGATCCGGGCTCCCACTGCTGTCGAACTAGCTGGGGTGCGGGTGTCTCCATTTTCGAGGTTATGATATAATTCCGTTGTGGTCATGATTGTATGCTGGATTTGGGATAATAGGGCCTGGGGCCTTGTGGATGGGGTGTTACTTTTATAGGTTCGAATCTGACCTTGTGTATGTTCTCGTGATTTAGTTTCCAGCCAAGTATATACGTGGTTGTATTGCTATCTGTGATCTCTAGTAGTATCTCTATGCTCCAGTAAGTGTGATTTGATCCTGTTCATGTAGTGAAACGGCGTTGTCCTCAACCGACAATAGGTTGAATGAAGCCCGAGGGAAATCACACACACCCTGGAGATTAGTCTACCACTGCGTCAACCGAGCTGTTATAGAGATATTTGGGCAGCGTTGACTATGGGACCTTTCACGTACATTGCATCGAGCCCTGAACCCAGGTTTCTGAGAGACAAATGCTTACTTCAATGCTAAGGAACAAGAACAGAAGTGTACAAAAGCGCTCAAATTGCAGCTCATTCCAACCTTTGGGATGCATATGAAATAACCATTCAATACATATGTAACAGCAGATCTCTGGATCTAACGTAGCCGTCACAGCTCATCTTTCGAGCGTGGTGCAGCATTATCTGCCTCCTCACCACCTGCACATGCAGCCGGCGACGTAACAAGCATGGAGTACACGCACTTCTCCTCTTCCGCGGTCTTCAAGATCTTGTTCTCCTCACCGCACTCCAAAATGACCTTGGTCGACCGGTTAGGTCCATTCCAGCAAGACTGGCCGCGATTGTACTCAATCGTCATCTTCTCGACATTGACGATCTCGCCAGCCGCGTTGACTTCTTCCACGCTCGTGGTTCCGACATTCGAGAATTTGCCCATGGACACGGAATTGCTTCCCTTCCTTTGGTTCTGCTTGGTCGACTCAAGGAAGCAATGCTCGTATGTGTACTCACCCGCATCCTGGGTGATACATACCCCCTTGAGTGCGCGGAAAATGGAGCCAGGACCATAGTCCTGCTCAAGGTCGGCACGCTGGTCGCGTAGCTTGTTCTTGAGACTTGTAACAGAGTCTTGCGCGGTCTTGAGGGCGTCGCGTGCCTGGGTAACAGCCTTAGATTCCGAGGAAGAGTCTGCATCAGCCTTGGGCAGAATGCCCTTTTCCTCAAGGTAGCTCTTGACAGAAACCACCCTGCCTTCAATGAAGCTGACAAGGGATGGTGGGAGATAAGCAGCGAGCTTGTACACTACAGCTGGCCGTTAGTAAGCTATATTAGGTGTCACAAGAAACCAAGGAAAAACTTACCTAGATCCGAGTCATTGCATCCATCCTCCTCGTTTTCCCAGTGATCCCAGTTAATACCATTTGCCTCGCCATCGGCCTTGGCAATCTCGTCTAAGTCGCGGTCCACGGCACCGTTCGCATGCTCAGTGCCTTGCTCACGAGCAGCGTAGTCCTCATAGCTACGGACGGCACGTTTGACACCTTCGTCATTGAAGTTGGGGTTATATTCCACCTTGACCTTGGCCAAAATGTCCTCGAGCTCCTTCACCCGCTCGCGGGCTTCATCCCGCTGGCGACGCACATCGACCAACGCATTGCGTAGCTCGTCAACACGGCCCTTGGCCAAGTTGGCAAGGGCATTGACCTTGCCTTTACCCTTGCCCTTTCCAGTACGGACCACCTTACGGTCCTGCTCCTGGGCGAGCTTCAAATCAGCCTCGAGGTTCTGTTCCTTGAGCTCAGCGCCCTGAACCTCTGCCTCTAGTGCAGCGATATGATCCTCGATCCCCTTCAGCTGCCGACCAGCATCGACAAGAAGATCCTTCTTCTTCCTCAGAGCAGCAGTCATCGACTTTTGGTTCTGCTCCTCCTGCTTCCGCCATTGCTTGCCAATCTCCTTGCACCGGTCTTCACACTTTGTACCCCCGACGCGAGCCCACTCGTCGCTACCATCACAGCACTCCTCATAATCACAGATACCATCATTGACACGCTGGAATGGAACGTATGATGGCCGGTGGCCCTTGTTTTTGCAGTAGAATCCCGGGAGGGCGAGTGCGATGTCCAAATCGCTATTCCCGGGCCGGTCAACTACCGTCTGCGGCGAATTGCGCGAGATATGTGCGCATGCAGACGTGCCGGGCTCGTCACTTCCGTCGGGGCAGTCACAGTAGTCATCATTGACGGCCGACAAGGGGATTTTGACCGAGGGATTCGAGATACAGGTGAATGTCGTCGAGTCCTGGTAGAATTTGGCAACTAAAGATATACTACGTTAGTATAATATCCAAGAGAAAAAGGATCAATTGCCTATCGTAGCCACTGCTAGCGAACCCGCTGCAGAAACACTAGTGGAGATCTAAGTCAGGGCTCAGATACTCACATTCTGGGCCCAAGCCACGTGGACGGACAGGCCTGTCACTACTAGCCTGGGCTGTCGACCCAGCGGCAGCCAGTAACAATAACGACTGAGGGAGTCTCATGCTTGAGGCATTGAGCTTTGTTTGTGGAGGTGCGGAGAGAGCTTCTGGCCAGCTGTTGATAGCGGGCCCGGGCCTGCCCAGCCCTGGGTCGATCTAATCGCCGCTGAGTCAGCACGCTATCTTTCCAACTTTATCGTGGCGAAGTGGGAGCATCTTACATCAACCGCATCGCAAACATGGGTAATGACGGTGGCAGGTGAGTGACTCTGTTATAATTGCGCTATATACTCAGATTTTCTGACACGAAGCTTTCTAGTATTCCGACTCGTCGAGAGCTCGTCCGCGAAGCAGCCCGTGCCCCGAGCACGGCGCAAGTAAAAGAGACCCAGCGTGAGCAGCAAGAACACTCCTGGACCAACTGTCCACTCTCGCACAAGTCCCTATCTCGGCCAATTGTCTCAGATTCAGTTGGGAATCTTTACAACAAGGACGCTATACTCCAGTTCCTCCTCCCCGGCGACGATGTCGAGGGCATCAGCTCCAAGGCCGACTGCGAAGAGATCCTGTGCGGGCGAGTGAAGTCGCTCCGGGATGTGGTCGAGCTGAAGTTCGAAATTGATACTGAGCTCACGGAGCACCCGTCTGGCCGTGCTCATGCGCCCCGTGAGCGCCGCGAGGGTTGGATCTGCCCGGTCACCGCCAAGCCGTTGGGTCCGAGTGTGAAGTCTGTATACCTGGTGCCGTGTGGACATGTATTTGCGGAGGAGGCTATCCGACAGCTTAAAGGCGACAAGTGCTTGCAGGTAAGAATGACGCCTTGAATACAAATTGAGAATAGTGGCTAATGTATGCTAGTGCAACGAATCCTACACCGAAGACAACATCATTAATATCCTTACCACCAAAAAAGAAGACAAGCAACGTCTGATGGCACGAGGCCAGAAGCTTGCTGAACAAGGCCTCACACACTCCCTCAAAAAAGCCCCGGGCTCAAAGAAGCGCAAGAAGAATGCCACCGCCGAGGGTGTGACTGATCCTCCCGGTGCTATAGAGCCTGCTGGCTTGGTAGTACCTAAGCAATCCTCTGACTCTAAAAGCCGAAGCAACACTTCCACACCAGCGCCTAATACTGCTTCTGGCAATGGAATCAAGAACGCGGCTACTTCTTCGCTCACTGCTCGTGTGTTGGCGGAAGAGAATGAGAAGAAGAAGCGCCGGAAGATGATGGGTGGCAATGAGAATCTCGACAGTCTTTTCTCCAAGAAGACCGGCGGGTCAAAGAATACTGATTTCATGACCAGAGGATTTTCTATATCATGACCTGAGGGTGTGCTGTCTTTCTGCTGCGCAGAGGTAGACACTAGGCCTGAATGAAGTTCCTTTGCTTTTCAATTTGACACAAGGTCGTCGGTGGAGTTTTATTTCCGGTGTTCACAAGGATTTCTCTTCATGTTCTTCAATGATTGATGGTGACTACAGCGTTTTATATTGGACGGCTGGATTGGTAGACATACTGTACATTCCAGAATTAACGTGTACAATTATTTGAACTCACTTTGACAAGGACAAAAAATTGCATTTCAATCAACAATTCTAATGTACAAAAGATTGCTCTCAGATAAAGGGAAAAGGATGCCTCCAAAATGCTCCAAAACATGAAGAGATGCCTAGGCATTCAACTCGGCCTTCTTAACCTGCTTCCAGGGCGGCAGTTGTTTCTGACCCAGGCTCTTGGTGATCAGACCATCCTTATAGAGCGCAGAAACAATAGCCTTCTTGCGGCCAAGATCTTCATCGTTGTCGTGGCGAGTCTGGCGGACGTCGAGAATCTTGACGTTAGACAACTCAGCGGCACCGTTCTTGTCCATAATCTCATGGAGAAGTACAGGCGTCAATCTGGTAGTCTTTTTGCGAAGTGCCTCCTGTGCTCGGAAGACATCTCCGGTGGTAGTGGAAGAGGTGACGATGTAGTCAGAAATGTGCTGAGACGTCAATTTGGAGAGGCGGGCGAAGAACTGAGATTTGGTCGTTAGTTGTGTTCGTTATGAAAAGGCCCAAGGGGGAATACGAACAGCAAACTTGACGTTTCCATCAGCCAGAGACAGAGAACCGAGGCGCTTCTGCATCTGACCCTTGGGCTCCGCGCCATACAGGCGATTTCCCTGCTCGCTAGCTATCTTCTTCAATTTCTCCTGGAAAGCGATTTCGCCGGCTTCACCATCCATGGCCGTTGCTGCATTGCGTAGAAGGGATTCCATTGTTTGAATGTCAGGGAACCGGAGAAGATCACCCCAGTTACCAGACCGACCTTCGATCTTAACCGACTTGAGCTGGTCTTGGATCGCTCGGCTGGTGTGGAGTTTGCTAACAGTGACCTTTTCCCCCAACATTTGCATCAAACCAATCTCCACGGCCGCCTGATGCGCAGCCTCCATGTACGGTAAAGGTCGTGGGTTGTAGTACCACCTGTTTGATCAAAAAGAAGGAATTGTCAGCAAATCCATTGAGAAATCGAACCATGATGCAGAGCCATCGAATTGGAAAGTTGGATCGGACGTACGGTTTGACTCTATCGGCTTTCCCTTTCGAACCCTGAGAACGCCATTTTTCCCCCTTGAGAAAACCGATCTTGGGCATCCCCTCCCACGTCAGGTTCTCATCAATTTCTTCAGGTCGTGCTTGACCCTCTTCAAGACTGAATCCTTCCTCTAGCACCGGCTCTCCGGGACTCATACCACTTCCAGGCATGATCTGACTTCCGGTGTAAGGGTCTGCCGGGCCTGGCGGCTTGTCTGTTCCCCAAATCTTGCGCCGAGCGCGCTCGAGGATTCCGGGGGAGTCGGAAGCATAGCGGCGAACTTGACCGAGCGGCGAGATACGGGGGGTGGCTTGAATTCTGCAGCTGGAGCAGACGAAATTTGCCTCCCGCAGAGGGAGGCGGATTGAGGGTCGCATTGTTGAGGTGGGCGTGAATGCTGCTTGAGAGCGTCGAGCTGGCGGAGTTGGCCCGGACGGAGAAACAAATTCAAGAAAGACACGGGTCACGTGTCAGTGATATTGATGCTTGGCATTTTGGTGTTCATTTCGCCTGATGGCCAGGACTTTGACACTGTAATCAATTATTTGTATGCAAATAACATCGCATTGGTTTATTTTATCTATTTCTGTGATATTTCCTTTTTAAAGTCCATGCTCGATGGCTATTCCATGTCTGTACAAAACGGGAAAAGAAATATTCAGAGTATGCGAACTGTATATACACATGCACCGCTGGTATCATACTACTGCAAAAGAGACAAAAAGAAAATTTTGTGCAAATCAAGTGAAAACGATTTACTCGCGGACAAACATGCCCGCCATACCCATACCAGTACCAATGCACATGCTAATGACACCGATCTCCTGACCACTGCGCTCCAACTCAGGCAACAGAGTAGCCAATTGGCGAGCACCAGTAGCACCCAGCGGGTGACCGATAGCAATAGCACCACCATTAGGGTTAACCTTAGCCTGGTCGATGCCAAGCTTGCGAACGCCGTAGAGAGCCTGCGAGGCGAAAGCCTCATTAATCTCCCAAACACCGACCTCAGGAACCTCGACACCAACAGTCTGCAGGAGCTTAGGGATGGCAACAGCAGGGCCAACGCCCATCTCGTCCGGGGCACAGCCCGCGACGGCAGACGCGACCCAGCGCGCCTTAATTGAACCAGACAGACCCAGCTCCTCGGCCGTGGAGCGACGCATCAACAAAGAAGCAGCGGCGCCGTCGCTGACCTGCGAGCTGTTACCGGCGGTGCTGGCGCCGGTAGGCGAGAAAGCGGGCTTGAGGGCGCCCACCTTCTCGATCGACAGGCCGTGGCGGATACCGTCGTCCTGTGAGACGGTCACGTCCTTGGCGGGGGCATCGGGGTTCTCGGGGTCGAGGGTCTTGGTAGTGACCGAGACGATCTCGGAGTCGAAGCGGCCTGCCTTCTGGGCGGCGGAGGCCTTTGCGTGGGACTCGACGGCGAAGGCATCCTGATCTGCGCGGGAAACGCCGTAGCGCGAAGCGACGTTCTCCGAGGTAATGCCCATAGGCATTATGCAGTCGCGGGCGTCCTGGGAATAGGACTCCTTCAGGTCGGGCCAGAGGACTGTGGGGATAGCGCGGGAGCCGTAGTTGCGGGTCATGGATTCCATGCCGCCACCGACGCCGACGTTTATGGCGCCGGCGCGGATGCCGTTGGCAATGGTTGTGATCGCTGCCAGGCCGGATGAGCACTGGCGGTTGATCGTGTTGAAGGGCACGGAGTGAGGGAAGCCGGCGTGGATCTGGCCCATGCGGCCGGCTTTGGCACCACCTAGTTCTTGTAGGACAGAGCCGATGAGCACATCGTCAATCTTGGACGGGTCTAGGTTCGGATTTGCCTTCAGTGTTGCCTGCAACACGCTGGCGAGTAGCTCTTCTGGGTAGGCATCCTTGAAACCACCCTTCTTGGCGCGGGTGACGGGCGTGCGCAGAGAGGAGAGGATGACAATGTCATTCGGGGACTTCTGGAGCACTTGGCGGAGTCCGCGAGGAATTGGAGAAGCCATGATTTCTAGTTTGGTCGGGTTGTTTGGAATTAGTTGAAGTTGTATACCGAGGGTCAAAGGTATTTCCGGTTTTTCTCGGCGCTGTCAGTTTCGACTTGAATATTAGCTCGGATAATCACTCACATCTGTACAATGGCTAAAGTATGCAAGAAAGAGAAAAGAGAGAAACCAACAACTGCATCCAAAACCCCCACCCCCTGCCAGAATTACTTATAGGCAAATGCCGGCCAAAATTCCGGGGTCGGAAGTAGTTTGGTCGACCAGTACCGTTGCTGAGTGGGCGCGGCACTGAAGATCGGCTAAGCGGTTTCCCGCGAAATGTGGGGAGAGCAAAGTCGTTGGATGTTCAACTTTTAGTTGTATATCCTAGTCTTCTAAGTCTATTGTTGATGGCCTCTACATCCCCGAATATTCTACAACACTGAATAACCCTAATGACAGCCATGCTCCTCCAAGCTGGACATCGGGAGCCCATCGGATGCTTATGTCAGCCATTTCGGTTCGGCTGTTTGGAACCGGAAGCCAAGCCGAGGATAGAGGGAGACGTTCCCGAATTTGATATCTTGGGATTAAATTAGAGATTCTGAGATAGACTGGTTTTTATCCCTGACAAGGGACAGATGAATGGTTCCCCTTGCTCATTCCATCATCAAAGCCATCTTTGCCAAGCAAGTAGCCTCCAGGTTGTTCTCCTTGGGGACGAGCCAGAACTTAACCTGGACGACCATCTCAACCATGATGATACCAGTTTCGAGCAGCTTGAACATATCAGCGTTAGCGACCGGAACACCCTTGCAAGTCTTCCATCCATTCTTCTTCCACTTGGGCAGCCACTCCGTCAAGCTGCGCACGAGGTACTCGGAGTCTGTTTTGATAACGAAGGTATTCAGCGGCATGAGGACCTTGCCCTTGCGCATCATCTTACTGCGTTTCTCGATTATCAAGGTTGCATTGCGCAGGGCCCGCAGACAGGCTGTCAAGTCGGCGATCTGGGTCGTGTGGCTGTGGTCGTCCTTGCCTGGAACGGGCCAGGAGATATTGCCAGCGTTGCCGCGGCCGTAGAATACTCCGATGGCCGAACGTTTTCTAGTCTTTTCTGTGAGACACTCTCCATGGATGGCGATGACCAGGGAGTCTTCGTGGCCTTCGTATTGTTTGCAGTCCCGGCATTTGCGGGTTGAAGTGGGACATGCAAGACAGATCCACGAGCCGATGTCGATTTCCATTTCCTGCAAGCTGAAGCGGGTGGGATATTCGTTCTCAGCATGGAAGCGGCGGTCTGCATGGTTTATCTCTCCGTCCTTCTTCTCGGGAGAGCCAGCTACGTGGTGGCTGTTTCCCTTGGGGCTTGGTCCATGTGCAGTGGAGCTGTGCACGCAGCCCTCCATTCCCTAGCCTTAATTATCAGTATTTGGAAGATGGTCTTGTGCAGTGAGTGAGAATCGGCGTATAGGCGAGGTAGGTCATGCGAGTGTGATCCTAAAATCAGGGCCAGTTCTTACCTGAGATGAATGGTGGGCTTTCTCTTTCTGGGGTATCCGTGAGACTCGAGGCACGCGGGCCAATTCCTCCGCCTCGTCTTCGAATTCCTTGAGCTTCTTTTTCTTCGTGTTGATGCGAACAGGAACAAAGATTCCAGCCGTGGAAGGCATCGTGACTGAAGATGCTTTTTGAAGAGAGATGAAAAGTGTAGTCGGTCAGCCGGAGAGTTGAAGTGAGAAAGCAAGAAAGAAAAGATAAAAATCAAGAGGGGCAGTTGAAAACAAAGGTAAATAGGAGATGGAAAGAAAAAGAAGGATGATCACAGTCAAAGCAAACGGAGTCTAGAAGCAAACGTGAAAGAGAGCGTACCTACTTTTTTGTCAACACTTCATATAGTATGTCTCATCAAAACTGTATGGCATATGGATATCAACCACCTATGAGGATTACAGAATTAAGAGTCCTAAACACATCGAAATAAGAATCGAGGTCTGCTTTTATGGGGTTCTAATATTTTCATTGAAGCAGAACAAAGAGCTGCAGTTTGTCCCGCTTTTAGGTTGGGAAACAATCCTCATGTCATTACATGTAGGCTAATCAGCGCTGCAATAAAGGCAAGCCCAAGAAAGGAAAAATGTATATAGAAGTGGACATCGAAGTAAGGCACTATGGGCGCGTTAATAGTGTGAAACTCCTATGTGGGTTTGACAGTAGTGCCATGTTGCTGGCTGGTCGGCATACCAAAGGAGAGGCGCCGTGTAATGGCGCTAGAAGAATAGCTCAGCCGGGAATAAATTGGAAGCTGATAGAACTACAGAGGGCGCATAACCTGCCAGTAGATGGGTCTAGAAATGGAGAGATAAAGGCGCATGGTGCAATAGAGAATGAATTCAGTGGTCCAAGAAGCTAATCTTAAAGCAGGGACTATGGAAACTGAACACGAGACCTCGAGCGTCGTTCATGTCATTCACAGGTATCAAGTCAAAGTCAGTTCGTTCAATCGTGAGTCGGTCAAATCAAGTAAAGATAATATGGTTGAGATGACCAGGAAACCGGTGATAACAGTGAGGGCAACCACGGCGAAATCCCATAATAAAGCGAGGCTTCTTGCGAGCTCTTCTATCAGGACGACCGAAGTACTGGACTCGTGTGCGCGTTCGAGGAGGGGGGAAAGATTGGGGTTTGAAAATGAACGGACCAGAAAATCCTGATGACTACGAGTCTGAGTCTGTCATAGAACTGTAGTCATACCAGGGGCTGGGTAACCACAGCGAAGCCATCCTCGTTGACCGTACCGACGGTGCGAGTGTATGGAAGTGGCCAGTTCACTTTCACGGTGTTCGATGCCCCATTCTTGGGGGTGGAAAGACGAGGATAAACTGGGCTGTGGGCTGAGCCTTTCCTTGATGCCAGAGAAGAGAAATGGTCCCTGAGGTGGAGTGGCCTCGGATGGGTCATTGATATTCAGCGACTTGTCGAGTAGGGCGTGGGGAACTGGCGATGGCTGACCAAGTTCTTAGACAGGCGGGGAGAAAGGTTATCGCCATTTACCAATTGTGGGTGCAGTCTTGGATGTTTCATTGATCTTCAGCGCGTTGCTAAACACCTTTCCAGGGATTGGCGAGGGCTGGCCGGTCACAAATGGAACAGATTATCCCCATTGGCCAGATGAGTCGATAGATCGGAGGAAAATTTGAGCTGAAGGGGGCAGGGCGACCAACCCTGTGTGTTCAATAATTAGTGGCTTGGATAGATGTAGATGGCTAGCTGACCTTACCTTTTCCTTTGAGTGCTCCAGGCCCTCAAGGGTTCGCTTGGAAGTGGACATCATTTCCTTGGTAGAGGACCTAGTAGAGTTCCAGGTAGCCATGGAACGCAAGGCAAATTTGTTTGGGAAAGAACGTGTCAGAAGGGAATGAGCGTTGGAAGTATAGAGTACACAAGTAGATTATATAGTCCTGGAGAAATATGCTCTATTCTGACCATTCTGAGGGGAACAATAGGAATTAGCCTCAATTGCATCGTTTCATTCAATAGAGAATTATCTAAACGTAAATGAACTTAATTAGGCGTCATTCAGGCGTCATTCGGGTTCTATTGTTTCATTGATCATTACCCGATTAGATCACCTCTATATGATACATCTACAATAACATCTATAACATTTGACTCGTCCAATCACATGAATACATAAGAAAATGAAGTGGCCAGTATGAGTTGGAAGTACATGACATGGTATGCAGGTCAGCAGAGGAAGAGGCTGGTCCTGTCGGTGAAAAAGCAGTGGGACGTGTACTCCGTATAACATTTTGTGTGTGGTCATCCCCGGTCTGGTGATTGGATCTCTCATAATATGCAGAAGCCAAGACAACTAGATCTAATTCCGCACAGAGTACAGCTTGAAATACACCAGAATGCAGTTTAGTTTAATGTTTAAAATCAATAATAAGCATAATAACCAAATAAGATAAAAGACCATAAATAGTATACTCCCTCTCAGTACATAAAGCATCCCTTGTCCCGTGAAATCTCTCGGCCCACTTTTACCTCTTAATTTTTGTCTTTACTTTTCTCCTTGACACCCCCCAAGTCTGTGAGTCATTTCTTCCCTTAAACTGTGTCATTCTGGTCCAGGACAATCTTCTTCCATAATCTTCTATATAATTTATACTAATCGCCACTAGTGTTCTTCGAACATCATGCCTCTCATTAAGACCACTGAAGTCAACGAGGACACTCGTGGTATGTGGAATGATGCCCGAGCCAATTGCGAATGATACTGATGATCTTTGGTCTTAGTCCTCGGATACGACCCATTGCTGTCGCCCAACTTCTTGCAGAATGAGATCCCCGCGGTGAGTCAATCGTTTTTTTCTTCACCCCCGCTCTTTGCGGGGACATGGCAAAACTTCAAGCGCACCAACTGACAACAATTCTCGGCATAGCCTGCTCGTGCCATTGAAACAGTCCGCTCCGGCCGGAATCAAGCAGTTGAGATCATCGAGCAGCGCGACGACCGCCTGTTAGTCGTTGTCGGACCATGCTCCATCCACGACCCCGACACCGCACTCGAGTACGCCCGCCGGCTCAAGGAGCTTTCCGTAAAACTGGAGAAGGATATCTGTGTGATTATGCGCGCGTATCTGGAGAAGCCCCGCACAACGGTCGGCTGGAAGGGACTGATCAACGATCCCGATATCGACGAGACCTTCAACATCAACAAGGGTCTGCGCGTGTCCCGTAAGCTGTACACCGACCTGACCAGCACGGGACTGCCCATCGCCTCCGAGATGCTCGACACCATCTCCCCGCAGTACCTGGCGGACCTGATCTCACTAGGTGCGATCGGTGCCCGGACCACTGAGTCTCAGCTGCACCGCGAGCTCGCCTCGGGTCTGTCCTTCCCCATCGGCTACAAGAACGGCACCGACGGCAACCTGACCGTTGCCGTGGACGCCATCGGCGCCGCCTCGCATCCTCACCGTTTCCTCGGTGTTACCAAGCAGGGTCTGGCTGCCATTACCAAGACCTCGGGTAACGAGCATGGCTTCGTCATCCTGCGCGGTGGCAACCGAGGCACCAACTATGATCGCGATAGCATCCGCACTGCCCGCGAGGCTCTCCGCTCCAAGAAGCAGCGTGAGGTCCTTATGGTCGACTGCTCGCACGGTAACTCCAACAAGAACCACCTTAACCAGCCCGTTGTCGCCAAGACGGTCTCTGATCAGCTCCGCGAGGGTGAGACTGCTATCATTGGTGTTATGATCGAGTCCAACATCTACGAGGGTAACCAGAAGGTTCCCCCCGAGGGACCCGACGCTCTCCTCCGCGGTGTCAGCATCACTGATGCTTGCATCAACTGGGAGATGACGGTCGACGTGCTCGAGGATCTCGCGGATGGTGTTCGTGCTCGTCGTGCTGCCCGGAAAGCGCAGCAGTAGAGGATTCTCTTTTCTCTAGATGATGCCTTCCTTGTCTCTTATTTTCATAGCCTTCTTCCGCGGAGGGGTGGAGAACGGAGCTGGCATAGATACACCGTTTCGGTGCCTGTTGTTTATTTTTCTCGGGTTTTCAGCGGTTTCCTTTGTACCTTTTTCTTAACCTGCTTGTTCCTTGGGAAGCACCCTTGGGATTCATGTGTGAATGTGTAGTTGATGTCTAAAAACATTTATGAGGGTTTGCGTTTCGCTGGGACTGAGGATTTAATTAGTATAAGTGGTCAAAAAGTTTAGGAATATGATCGAAGGCTGAATCTGCTTTTTATATTTTTCCAGGGCCTACCCTCTCCTTATAAGAATCCTTTATTTTTTTTTTTCTCCACTGCATGCATGGACCATCAAAGCCGCGGCAAAGCGCTTCTCCGGTGTTGGGGATGGGTCCCTCCCTCTTTGGGGGTTAGTGCGCAAACTTAGGTTAGAAGGGTCTGTTTCGGTGAAATAACAAGTGATCTACAAGGCAGTGGGGCGATAGGTAGTACATACCTGTAGTATATACCACAGTAGGTTACATTGTAGGTGGGATCTGAAGATGGAATAGAAATGAGAGCAGATAGAAGCAGATCTATGTACTGTACACGATATACATGGAAGCCCACCCGTCCACTCCCTTCGGAGTGCCAGGAAAGACTATACTGACTAGGAACACATTCCAGAAAGATAGAAGAAGAAAACGCCGTAAACCCCCTGGGAGAATGGAAGCAGGCCACGAGAAAAGCGTGGCTTACTATGCAAGAGAAAAGAGTATTGCAGATGGCGAGAAGTGAAGATCGGCGGGGAGATGGGTCCGGATTATGTCCGCTGGTAGATGATGAAACCAGATCAGCATTGCATCCGAGGATAGGTTATGGCATTATCCCAACCCATCCAATCCGTCCTGCTTTCTTTTTATTTGCTTTGGGGACCAAAAATGACACCCATCTACCGCCCCGTCAACCAGCTAGTCCAGCTCGATGTCTTGGTCTTCGCAGCTTGTTCCACATTCTCGGCCAGCACATCCAACTGACCGGGCAAAGGAGCGCCAGTTTTCGCCGTAGCAGTATCCAGAGCTTGCTTAGCCTGCACAGCTTCCATAACACTGCCCCGGGGCTTGTCGGCATCCTCCAAGACCGATGCGGATGGTGGTGCAGTATTGGCACCGGTGTCTTCCATGTTCAGCTTCTCAAAGAGGAATC